ATGCTCGGTTCTGCGATCTGGTTAACCAAAGTGCAATGCTTGGTGAGCCGGTTCCATAAGCTAGACAAGTGCAGAGACTAATGAGAACCCTACCGGACAGATTTGGGATTAAAATTACTGCACTAGAAAGCTTCCAGAGGATTCAGAAGCTTGGCATCGATGATCTTCTAAGTGAACTTCGCACATTTGAAATCAACCATGGCTTTGACTCTATGAGGATAAGCAGAGGGAAAGGTCTTGCGCTAAAGGCCAAGGTTCGTACCACAGTCGCTGAGAATGACGAATCCGATGAAGAATCTTTTGATCCTGACGAAATCACCAAGGCTCTCAGCGTGCTTACCAAAAATGTTTCGAAGTTGAAAAAATTCCAGAAAAGGAGATTTCAGGGAAACAGGTCCTTTGAAGGTGGCATAAACCAAATTCAGCAGTTTGGAGAAAGGAAGTCTGGCATGCAATTTAACAAGCTTCAGAATGGCAACCAAGGAGTAGAAAAGGACCAATGCCGAGAATGCAAAGGATTTGGTCACTTTCAAAAGGAGTGTCCTAATTTCAAGAAGAAGAACAAGACATTCAAGGCTACATGGTCCGACTCCAGTGATGACGAGGAGGACGAACCTGAGATGACTGAGAACTCTAACTACTCTAATAATTCTGCTAAATGTCTTCTTAATGAGTACAACTGCTTTACTTCTTCTGTTCATTTAACTGATGTTGAATCAGATGCAGGTTCTTATGCGAAAAATTTGAGCGAGGTAGACTCTGATGAATTCTCAGACCCTGCTGCCGAAAACCTTGTACTTCACAAGTACGCCATTGAAAAGTGTCTCAAGTCAAGGGATATCATCAACAAGTACCAGGCCCAAAAACAGAAGATGAAGGCGGTGGAATTACGTTACGCCGAACGTGAAAAAGAGATTGAGTATCTTCGGAACGAACTCCAGAAGATGAGGGTAATGACGGTTGACTTGAACGAGAAGCTCATCAGATCAGACCTTCACATTGGAAAACAGGACAAGGACTTAAACAGTTGTTTCGCAAAGCTAGCACTGGTTGAGCACGGCGATAAACTCAACAAGCAGGCCAGTGAAGAACAGAGTTTTACCATTGAATCTCTGCGCAACGAACTGTTTGCTGTTCAAAGTCTTGCTGGAGAAAGAGAAACTGAAATTGTGGTTCTTAAGGAGGAACTTGGTCGGGTAATGGAGGAACATGTGGCACTTCGGAGTCACTGTACTACCCTTGAAGAAAGATTGCAAAAGAGTGAAAAAGTTGTTCGAATGATTAACAAGCCAAGGGCATCATATGCTGAAGTTCAAAAACTGAGTCAGCAGATTGGTTCATCCAACCCAAGTAAGACTGTCCAGAATCAAAAACTGAAAGGAAAGATTGGAGAATCAAGCTCTTCACTGAGTAAGGCCGATCTAACTTTTGTTAAAGAAGGATACTCTTTTGACTCCATGAAAGGTAAGTCACACTCTCCAAAGGTTCAGCACAAGAATTCTGGTAAGAACTTTGTACCTGTCTGTCACTACTGTGGGATTCGCGGTCATATTCGTCCCAAATGCTATAGAATGCATAATGATATCTATACGGGACGAATTAATGACTAGAGTCCTCATGGTGTTCCTTTGAAAGCTCCCAAACTGAAAGTTGATATAGTGAACCATGAACAGAAAAAGATCTGGGTTCTTAAGGATCGTAAGAACCTTTGTCTATCCTCCATACTTGCTTTGAAATCCACATCCAACTCTGATTGGTATTTTGATAGTGGTTGTTCTCGTCATATGACAGGTCTGAGATCTAACTTGACGAATATTATGCCTGTCTCTTCCAGTTCTGTCACTTTTGGTGATGGGGCAAAAAATAAAGTTCTTGGAATTAGGTGCTTGAATGTTCCTGGTCTGCCTAAACTTAACAACGTTCTTTTGGTTCAAAACCTGAAAGCAAATCTTTTAAGTATCAGTCAATTGTGTGATCAGGGTTTGTATGTGAATTTCACTAAAACTCAGTGTCATGTGTCTGATCAAGAAAACAAACATGTTCTCACTGGTACTAGGTCCAGGGATAACTGCTATCTTGTGGAACTTGATTTGAAATGTAATAAAACCAGTGTTGATTTGACTGAACTGTGGCATCAAAAACTAGGTCATATTAACTATCCTCACCTGATTGAACTCTCTTCCACAGGAGCTGTTCGAGGATTGCCGAAGCTGAAAAAGGAAGAACCACGGATTTGCGGATCATGCCAAATGGGAAAGCAGAAAAGGGCGTCACATAAGAGGTTGGCAGAGGTCAGTACAAACCGTGTCATGGAACTGATTCACATGGACCTAATGGGACCAATTCAGGTTGAAAGCTACAGCGGTAAGAAGTATATTCTAGTCTGTGTGGATGATTTCTCTAGATTCTTTTGGGTTGATTTTCTTAAAGATAAGTCTGAAGCACTTGATGTATTCAAAAAACTCACGTTAAAACTTGAAAATGAAAAACAAACCAAGTTGGTGGCAATCCGGAGTGATCATGGTAAGGAATTTGAGAATCGTGGTTTTGAGTTATTTTGCAAATCACGTGGTATATTTCACCAGTTTTCTTCTCCTATCACTCCACAGCAAAATGGGGTTGTTGAACGTAAGAACAGGACCCTTCAAGAAATGGCGAGACTTATGTTAGCATCGCAGGGCATGTCCTTAAGATGGTGGGCAGAGGCTGTGAATACGGCATGCCACATAATTAATCGTGTTTATTGCAGGAAGGGGACTGGAGTAACCTCATATGAAATTTGGAAAGGTAAGGCACCGAATGTGAAATATTTTTACATATTCGGGTGCAAGTGCTATATCTATAATGATAGGGAACACCTTGGTAAGTTTG